TATATATATATATATATATATATATATATATATATATATATATATGTGTGTGTGTGTGTGTATATATATATATATATATATATATATATATATATATATATATATATATATATATATACATATATATATATATGTGTGTGTGTGTGTGTGTGTGTGTACACACACACACAGGCATTTTTATCTGATTTCCAGGAAACTTTCCAAACTCTCACCTTCGCAACACTTGGACTCAAACGGGAGGCCTTTCATCAACTTTGAAGTTTTTTTTTGGCAAATGCCAACCGGCAAAAGAGAGTTTGGGGAATGTGATGATGGTCCCTTTTGACAGTCGTGCCCAGCTTTAAAACTGTTCCCCGCTCTAGAATTGGCAATGCATATCAGTAGGAATGACCCAATCGGCATCGCTGGTGAGACACTACCGCTGGCAGCAAACAAAATTACACATAATATTAACACAACCTTTAACCTTCTCAACAGTATATTGCAAGGCATCTAAAACTGTAAAATAACATCAGTTGAAGACGCCACATTTGTTATTAAAAAGAGTAAGCATGAAATAACTGCAGATATATTGCAATTTTTCCTAACCGAACTGGCTCTGGAAGCTTTTTGAGTGATGTAAAAAAAATCTGTTTAAGTACATAGTGGGAGGAAGCTGCCTAGGTGTGACTCTCTTCTTGATTCCTTGTAAAGTAGTTTTCTTATATAATTATTTTTAGGAGTAATTTTGTCTAATTCTAATATATTTTGATTAATTGCAGAAGGTTGCCCTACGTATACCTTACATTCAGTTATTAATGAGCTAATATTCTATCAAATATCTTTTGTATTGACATTTCGGATAATTCAGGCGTAAAAATACTGTTTTATTGTTGGTTGATATCAGTCCAACATATCAGATTTTTTTAACAGGAACATCAAAAATAGCGATTATTAAATACAAGAAAAAGTTTATCTCTACAGTTTGACAGACAAAAGAAATATATACAGTACATACACACGTAAAAAAACACATCTATGGGACACGCACTGCACCAAAAAGATAAAACAAATAAAGATAGTACTAGTAATAAAAATAAATAGAATACAATAAAGACAATTATAACAAAAACAAGAAAAAAATATATGATAAAAAAGAAAAGAAAAACTAATGATTAGACATAAGAAAGTATCTCAGACGCATCCACCCCATGACGTAAGCAGCAAGTGGCGACAGGCGAGTCCTAGGCGACCTGCCCCGCCATCAGAAGAGGAACGAGCACATCTGGAATGCCGGGTCGTCGAGCTGAGAGGACTTCATGTACGAGGCCAGGTCGGGGGGCACGCCGCTCATGCCCGTCAGGACGCTGTCACTGCTGCTCGTGCTCGACGCCTTCTGCTGCGGAGACGGAGGGGGGCGGGGTAAGGCTTAGGGGAATGACGTATATTGATGGGCAGGGGAATTGATAGATAGATAGATAGATAAACAGAGAGAGAGAGAGAGAGAGAGAGAGAGAGAGAGAGAGAGAGAGAGAGAGAGAGAGAGAGAGAGAGAGAGAGAGAGAGAGAGAGAGAGAGGCAGAGAGTGATAGAGATACAGACGTGGATAGACAGGGAGTTAGACAGATATCTCAATAGGCAGATAAATGGATAGGAAATCTGTAGATTCACAGATAGATAGATTTATCAATTAGTAGACACACAAAGAGACAGACAGATGGGCAGAGGGATAAGTAGATAAACAGTAGACATACAAAATATAGACAGATATAAAGAGGGTCAAGCATATAACACACACACTGCTTGTATTACAAAAAATAATTAGTATCAAAAGCTCATCATCATAATAAAAAACTTAAACAGAAAAGACAGCAACGAGAATAAACAATTCTATAATTTAAAATATGGAATTGGCATTTCGATAAAGATCTTCATCGATATCACGATGAAGATTTAGCATCAAAGCAGAATATGACATTGAATTTGGGGTTACTCCTCATTCATAATTTTACGCTTGCTGCAACGAACTTTGAGGCAGATATTGGGTTCAGTCTTACCTGCTTTTTAAGTGACGCGAGACAGAACGTGCACACGGGTCTTCGCTCGCCAGTGCCTGTGTAGTTGTACTGGGTGTGTCTGAGGCAAGGCTGTTCCACGGGGCCTGTGGGGAGCACGCCAAAGGGAGAGCGGGATGAGAAAGCGAATTCATTTGGAGTCCTAAATCAACAGAGATTTAAAAAAAAAACTATCAAAGCTGTCGAAAAATGTTTCATCGCATTTTTCGTGAAAAAACAGGAAAAAATAATCCAAATACCCCCAGAGATTCGAAAGAAATGAACACAATGGAATTGATTAAGTAAAATAAGATGATGTTTTTTTTTGTGTGATAAGAAGAAAAGGAAATTCATAGAATGTAATAATGAAGTAATTCATCAATGCATTTTGTTCTCGTGAATTTAGTTATTTGAAAACCATTGTTTTACATATGAAAACATATACAAATCCTTGATTTTTTAGTAGATGTACAAGTGAAATTTATAGCTTATGAATTGTAAGACAGTGAAAGAATATTCATTAATTGTCTAATTATTAGGATAAAATATTCCAAATAAACACCAAATTATTATCATTTTTAAATCTAAACACTGCAACAAAATTTATGAATGACGTAATCTTTAGAAATAACATTATTGAAGAACAAATGCCTCTGACTTCCAGTGTTCATTTCATATCTTACAAGGGAAAAACACCAGATTTAAATATTTGTGAAATAAAATTACATACATATATTCAGGTGAAAGTGATATGATCCCTAGAAAGGACAGCTGTTAAAGACCTGACTGCGCATATTTTTTCGACCTCCCGGACGCTCCCCGCTTGACACTATACGCCGAGGAGGTCCGGGGTTTAAATTCTTTCTCTCAATTCTTTCTGTCATATCATCCCGTTCAAACTAGCACGCGCATACATAACACACACGCGCACGCACTTACGCTGAGAACCACACACACCCACGCACGTACACTGAGATCCACACACACGTGCGGTCACACATATTAGTCTATCATATTCCGTGTATACAACAACACAGAAATACATACCTATCTACGTAAAAAAATGCTCAAGCACACAGACTTATACTCCCTTCCCCCCCCTCCTCCCTCTTTTTCCCTCCACCATCCTTCCGTCCCACATGCGTCCTTCCCCAGCCCTCTCCCTTTTTCTCCCATCCCCTTATCCTTTGCTCCCCACTTCCCTCACCTACCACCCTTCCTCCCCCACTTCCCCTCCCCTTTCCGTTCTCTCTCACCATTTCCCCTACCCCTACCCCTACCCCCCCCATCCTTCCCTCCGCACTCACCCCCTCCCACCATCCTTCTCTCGATCTTTCCATTCCCTCCCCAGCCCCTCCCCTCCCCCTTTCCCTCCCTTCCCCAATCCTTTCCTCTCCGATTCCTCTTCCCTTCCCCCTTTCCCTTCTCTCTCTCATCTTCCCCTCTCCCCCTTTCTCTCCCCACATACCCCTCCCCCTTAATTCCCTATCTCTCCCCTTTCACTCTTCACTTTCCTTTCCCTCCCCTCCCTCTTTCCTTTCCCTCCCCCATCCACTCTCTTCCCCCTTTCCCTTCCCTCCCCCATCCGCTCTCCTCCCCCTTTCTCTTCCCTCCCCATCCCCTCCTTTTCCCCTTTCCCCCTCCCCCCTCTCCCTCCCCCGCTCACCTGCCAGGAGCTGCGTGCCGAGGTGGCTGATGTAGGAGGAGGCGAGGCGGAGCGTCTCGATCTTGGAGAGCTTGCGGTCGGCGGGTTCGGTCGGGATGAGCGTGCGCAGCGTGGTGAAGGCGCTGTTCACGCTGAATGGGGACGACGCTAATTTCAGTTTTGGGCTTCTGATTAGGGGCGAGAAAGCAGTAGCAGCAGTTCGGGGGGAAAGCACGCTACTCATGGGGGGTGGGGAGGGAGGGAGGGAGGGAGGGAAGGTTAGGAGGGTGGGAGGGAGGGAAGGAAGGTTAGGAGGGAGGGAGGGAGGGAGGGAAGGTTAGTAGGGAGGGAGGGTGGGAGGGAGAAGACAGGCGAAGGGAGGGGAAGGAGGGGTGTTTTGGGGTTCAGTGGCAGGAGAGAGAGGGAGGAAGGGAGCGAGTGAGGGAGGGAGTAAGGGAAGGAGGGGGGAGGGATGGAGGGACGGAGTGAGGGAAGGGGAGGGAGGGGGATGTTGGGACAAGGGGGAGGGAGGAAGGGAGGGGTGAGATTAGGTGAGGGTGGGGGAACGGTTGGGGAAGTGAGTTGAAGTGGGGATGAAAGATGGTGGGGTGGGGGGAAAGGGGGAGTGATGGTGAGGGTAAAGTCTTAAGGAATAAATGAAGATCGGGAAAAGACAGGGGGGGAGGGGTGTGGAAGGAAAAGTAGGGAAGGGTGAATGGAAAATGAAAATGAAGAGGAAGGGAGAGAGAGATGATGGGGTAAGGAAACAGACAAAGAGGGAAGGGTAAACGGAGGGTTGTTTGCGGTTAACACTTCTTTGAACCGCAAAGGAGAAGAGATGAGACACGAGAGAGAGGGAGGGTGAGAATCCAGGAAGGAAAAAAAGGGAAGCGAAAGGGAGGGAGGAGACAGGAGAGAGAGAAAACAAAGAAGGTGAAAAGAGAAGGAAGAGAAGAGAAAAGAAAGAGGGGCATAGAAGGAAAAGGGGAAAGAAATGGGACGGGAGAAAAAGGGGAGAGGAATGGAGAGACTGGAGAGGGGAGAAGGAAATGAAGGTAAGAGATGAAATAGCAAAAGAGAGCTGAGAGAGGAGAGAGATGAGAAGAAAGGGGACAAGGGGTGGTAAGAAGGGAGAAGAGAAGAAAAAGGGAGAGGGGAGAGAGGAAAGGAGAGAGGAAAGGAGGGAGGGAGGGAGGGAAGGAGGGAGGGGGAGGCTATGTTCCTCCCCGGATTCTTGGAATTTGGGAAATTGGATAATAATACTTAAATTTAGGGACATCAAAATATACATAACAATAGATAAATATCAGGCATTTCCCTGTTGCTGTATTGCTCTTATGTATTCGCTTTTGAAATACTTATCAAATGTTAAATTCAATAAGAAAAATATATAAAAAAAATGCAAAAAACAACCAAACAAATAAACCGATTATTAACTAATTACTAACAACAACAACAACAATAGTAATGGTAATAGCTATAATGATAACGATAATGATAACACAAAAACAACTGCGATAATCATAATGATAATAGTACAATAACAATAATGATGATAAGAGAAATAATAATGACAATAATAATAACAATAATAATGATGATGATGATGATGATAATGATAATGATAATAATAATAATAACAACAATAATAAAAATAATAATAATAATAATAATAATAATAATAATAATAATAATGATAATAATAATAACAATAACAATAGTAATAATAATGATAATAATAATAATAATAATAATAATAATAATAATAATAATGATAATAATAATAATAATAATAATAATAATAATAATGATAATGACAATAACAATAAAAGTAACAACAACAATGAAAATAGTAATGATAATGATAATGATATTACTACTCCTACTACTACTACTGCTACTAACAATAATGATGAGAATGATAATAATAATAATGATAATGATAATAATAATAATAATAATAATAATAATAATAATAATAATAATAATAATAATAATAATAATAATAATAATGATAATAATGATAATAATGATAATAAAAATAATAATGATAATAACAATAATAATATTAATGCTGCTGCTGATGATAATGACAGTGACATGATAATGTTAATAATAATGGTAATGATGAGGATGATGATGATACTACTACTACTACTGCTACTGCTACTACTACTAATAATAATAGTTAATAACAGCAACAACAATCAACAACAACAGTAATAATGATAATAATGATAATAATAATAATAATAATAATAATAATAATAATAATAATAATAATAATAATAATAATAATAATAATAACAATAATAATAATATTAATAATAATGATAATAATAATAACAATTATAATAATGATAATGACAATAAATAAATATAATGATGAATTAATTGCAACAATGAAAATGCAAACATACATAGAGAGACAGGAAGATAGTGATATACTATATACGTGAAGAGTCCAAGACCTTCCAGAAGGACATTTGGCGACCATCAACTGAACGTGACAGAAGCTCCCCCTGGATAAAAAGAGTGGAGCAGAAACAGAGCACCAGAGAAGCAAGAGGAACCGACAATAAAGAGAGAGCGACTGAGGAAAGCGCCAATGAGAGTTCCAGGCCCTGACGCTGGGTAGGGTTTCTGGACCTGGCCAGTCTCCACGGTAGACTGGTCCATGAAGCCTGATGAAATATGCGAACACTGTGAAACAATACATAGCACAAGAAAGAAAAAGAATGGGAAAAGGAAGAGCCTTAGTACACCAAACTAACAAAAAAGCATGATGAGAAGATCTAGTAGTGGCTGAAAATATATACGTGAAAATAGAAACAGCAGGACTTATAACTGGTGCACTGGACTAGGCACAACCAACTCGACACAGGAAGGTTAATATAAAATAGCAAACAGTAGCAACGCTGTGCAGAATGTCTAAAGAGAGAGACGAAGCGTTATTTCACCTTCTAAGTGAGTGAAGTAAACGCAGTCAGCGTGAATACAGAAAGAGGCACGACGAAATTACACAACTTGTATACTGGGGTCCTTGTGAGAGAGGATGACCGAAAACAGTAAAACGGATACTATATGATTTCTCGATACAAAGTGATCGTGTAAAGCAAGCACGGAAACCAGACATCGTAGTAAGAGATAAAGAAATGGAGATGGAAGAATAGAACAGAGCGTAGTTCTCCGCCCGACTAGGATTGGCAAGGCTACCGCGGAGAGCGTTGGATACCTCAGATTAGAGGCTCTGACGGGAGACCAATAAGATAGCAATAGAATCAGCAACAGCTTTTAAAGTATCATTTTAGATAAATGTTAAAGCAACTAACTGTTAATTCAAGGATGATTCCCTTACTCGACCATTGTTCTTTAAATTTCTTGGAATTTTTTCGTACGTCACAAAACTAAATTCTTCCTGGAATATCCCCACAGAATACGAGTCATAAGATTTAGAGATTGTCTTAAAAGAAGTCGAAAAAAATGAGGGTCTTATTTTTTTCTTATTTTATGTTAAACTATTTCCTACTCAGTCACACATACACATATGCACAAACACACACAAACATAACTAACTACACCCGTGATATAATAATGTCATAAATGTACATACTCTAAGTATAAGTACGTACGTGTGTATGTATGTCTTTATATTTATAAATGCATATGTATATATATATATATATATATATATATATATATATATATATATATATATATATATATATATATATATATATATATATATATATATATATATATATATATTGTTCCCCACGAGGACGAGACCTGTCCCCCGCAGACGCTGCATCCCAAGAGGCG